TCCCAGGTTCGAGCCCCGGCCGGGCCAAAATTCCACACCAATTTTTCATCACAATTTTCCACAAAATATTCAACTGAAAAATTCAACACAATTTTCAAATCGAATATTCCACGGAATTTTCAACTGAAAAATCCACTCCACATTCAACATTCCCTGGCTGAAGGCCCTCGGGCGATGGCCGCGTTGGCAAGTTAACCCTTGCAACGAAAAACCGGTGAAATTTGAAATTTGATGAACAAAAAAGTTTCCGCGTTTGTGGGTAATTCCGGCCAGAGTTTGTGGATAATGCCGCTCAGGATTTCTGTAGGACTGCTATAGACGCTGCTAGAGCAGGGAGAATAGGAGGGATATTCTCCATGAGCTAGAGGGCGGTCGAGCGACAGCTCAATTGTTTGGGGTAGTCGGTGGCCACTAGACCATCGGGTAAATTCAGGATAATTTATTATTATTCACGTGAAATTTTTCTCAAAATGAAACCAAATAATGGAAACGAAAGATGAAANTCGTCTCCGACTCACGTGCCTCGTGCGCCTGCACTCCACCAGCGTTGAATTCAGCACTTCTCCGCCTTAGCACGTAATATACTATTTCCGGGCTGCTATGCGTTGGCGTCCGAGCCGAAGGCGAGGGCTGGACAATCACACGAGTAAAAAAATCCCATCGCACCAGCCCGAGACAAGATTTTTTTGTAGTGATTTTCAAGTTTTCGAGTTTGGGAAGTATGCGATACCAATTCCCAGACGAGAAATCGTGACANAAACCAAATAATGGAAACGAAAGATGAAAATAGGAATAGTATTTTTCATTGCTCAAGCCCAAAAAGGGCTCTTTTACCGACGGTAGTTAAGCATGAGAAGTAGGTCTTTTTACCGTTGAGCAGTATAAAAGTGAGAAATGCACTACTTAGGAGTGAAAAAGTGAGAANGATACCAATTCCCAGACGAGAAATCGTGACAAACAGTACAGAAAAAATTATAATAGTTGGTCTGCATTGCTCAAAAAAGTCATCAAAACAAGATATTGGGTATTGGATCATGCGGATTCATGCGGTATTGGACGCATGCCGGGCGGTATTACCCTCAAAGTTCGATTCCATCATTCACTGGCCGATGACAATTCAATTACATAATTAAATATGTTTAATGTTAATAGACAATCTGTCCACTTCACATCGAGTAAACACCTAGCAGGAGCCATTCTAACCGTTTACGACTCCTCGTAGAGTATGAGCCTGGAAAAAAAGACTTATTTCCCTTAGGTGGGCGGTACATGCACCAGCTCCCCTATAATTTGACATGAATTTTGCAGAGTGAGTCCATTCACTCAAGTGTGGTTATGACATCCAGTGGTACGTCAAATTGGGAAAAGAAAAGTATCACTTATTTAATTTCCGTACTGGACTTCACTTTTCCTCGTTCGGGGATTGGTATTGACCTCTCCCCAAACTCGTAAAACTGAAAGTCACTACGGAAAAATATCGTTCACGACTAGTGCCATGGGGTTTTTTCTACTCGCGTAGTTGACCAATCCTCGCCTTCGACTCGGACGCCAATTCCACGCGAGTAACAAACCCTAGGCACTCGCCCTGAAATATACTATTTTTGTGCCTTCAACTTCACAGGCGGTGCAATCAGCAGTAGCCAGCTAGCGTAAATCATTGTTCCGTACTGACCTTCACTTTTCCCAGTCCGGAGATTGGTATTGGCCCTTCCACAAACTCGTAAAACTGAAAGTCACTACCGAAAAATATCGTTCACGCCTAGTGCCATGGGTTTTATTATTTGCGCGGTTGGCCAGTCCTCGCATTCGGCTCGGACACCAATTCCTCACTAACTCTCAGACTGTTTGTGCTTTACGGAACTCAAATGCATTCTCATTTACCATTATCGTTCCGCGATAGATCATGAATATATTATATATCGAATCATTGGCAGTGCATTAAAAAAAATTATGAAAACAATGAGTTCTTGAAGATTGACGATTCTTCTACGTGATTTGAGGTAGTTCACTTGCATCAAAATCACACCTGAGTGCAAGAATATTTTAAAGCATGAAACCTTTCTCGAGCCACGCGAGTTGAGATTATAGTGATGCCGCAAGAGCGCAAGAGAAACAAGACAAGACAAGAGTACTGCTGCAGGAGGCAACATAAGACAAGAAGCAAAAGAAAATAAGAGATACGGAACAGAAAAAATAATTAATCAAAAAATTCGTCAAAAACTCTTTATTCATCAATAATATAATGTAATTTTTTTCAATGACACTTTATCTATCCGTGGATATTGTAAAGAATTATGTATTCCTCGATAATATTAATCTTTCTTCTCAAATAGCGCAGCTTTCATGATTGGAGCTAGTGGAGATGAGAACCATAAATTCATGCACAATAAGTAGGGGAGGGTGTGCCTGTACGGCCCACCTAAGGGGAAATGCCAGGTTTTATATTTTATATTTCAACTTGAGTATAAAAAACGTATTTGTGGGACTTCTTCAACTATTGAACTCGTTATTCTCGAAGTGTAGACGCCTAATTCTCCTTAGAATCCACAAAATTGATTGAAAATAAAAGAGAGAGCCTATTGAGCGGTACTACCCACCGTCGGGTAATACCGCTCGGCACGATTCCAATGCTGCTCATAGGGTTTTGCGTGTATCGCTCGCGCTGCAACCTAACCTGTACTCGAGTGCTGTCAAGCAACTACGTGGCCGATCCTATGAGCGGTATTACCGGCTCCGCTCGGCGTCAACAAAATTGTTGATAATTATTGACATGAGTGGAGTTTTGAGTTCGAGTTGGTCTCAAATTACGCATGAAAGTACCACGAATCGAATAACCACAGTTTAATATGAGAATTCAGCGTTTGAAACTATCAAAAACCTTAATTACAAGTCCACAAATTTTGCACTGTAAAGACCTCAAAATATCGTTATGTGTCTTTTCATATTTAAAGTGGTAAATAAAGTGAAATTTTTTCGACAATCACATCCTATCATCAAATTCTTCATGATCAGGAACAGAAAGAAATTTTCAAGTTGATGGTTGTGGAGAAAATCGGGTGAGCGGTATTACCCGCTGAGCGGTACAGGCACACCCTCCCCTACTCAACATTTTTGTTACTTAATCGACTCCGGTGTTTTCTGATAATGAGACCAGCTTTTGAAAATAAAGTTCCGGAGAGAACACTAGATACACAAATTGTCAAGTAATTACGAGCTAAACGCGGAAAACTCAACTTATTAATCTCACGGAATTGAAAAATAAAATTGTCGAGGTTCACAAGAGAACACATGACAAGGCAAGAGTTGTTTTTCACTTGCTCATATCCGACAAGACAAGAGACGAATTTTCTCTTGCCAATTGGAATCAGACAAGACAAGAGAAAAATCCTGAAATTACAAGACAAGACATTAAATACGTAATTTTTGGCTTGTCGTGGCTTACGGCATCACTAGTTGAGATGCCTAGCAGAATTAAGCGATTGAAGAAAAATTACTTGTCTCATGTAAATACATATGTTTCAGATATTAGAAATTTGCTCTCAGTGTACTATTTTGATTCAACTATAATGTAATATAAAATCTTACAATAGAGACAATCTATTCAATCTGTTCTTTTTATTCTCTAGAAATCGAATATTTTCAGAAGAAAATGTTCGAATAACTTTTGCTTCCGAATGAAAGCATGGTATTCGTCGGATTTTGACATTCTCTAATTTTGCCTGGAAATGATGTAGAATGGTATGAAACGTGAAGAAATGATGTTTTTAGAAAATGTCTGTATGTCCGGGTCTGATAGTTCGGTTTTTGGGTTATCACTTTTTAGAAAATATAACATTAATACGGAAAAAATCATTGATATGATCATGAGATTTTGACCCATACTAGGTACTATTAAGCTCAAGTTTGATGCACAATTTCAGCCCGATCGGTCGTTCCTGAGATATTCAACTTTTTGTATAAAACTATATTAGTCAATATTTCAAAAACTACTTGACCGATTGCATTTTTTTTTAATACTCGTCGCGATGTCTTCTACCTAGATCAGTCAAAATATATATACCCGTTCATACAAAGTTTTCGAGATATTGCCAATTTTCCATTTTTTCCCAAAATTCATTTTACGCGCGATAACTCGACAAGAAATTGAGATAGAAGGTTGAAATTTGGTATCATTGTAGCTCCCATACTACCAAAGGTTGGTATTTTGGCTGAGCGACATCGGTTCAGTAGTTCCAGAGATATTTAACTGTCTGTATAAAACTATATTGGTCAATATCTAAAAAATTACATGATTGATTCTTTGTTCGCACAATAACTTGAGGAAAAATCGGGATAGGAATGTGACGTGAGAAAATAGTTTCTCCTGTAAATTGAAAAAGGGAATTGCTATGGGCCCATTCGGAAGCTTACTAGAGTAAACTACCCAGTAGATGAACACTGCCCTATAAATGGACGAGCTACTTTTGGATAGGAAATTACGCAAAAAAATACTGAAATGTGAATTGTTGCTTTGAATTTTCACTAACTGTTGTGATTCTTAACCCCTGAGTGACGATTTTTTTTCGATCATTTTTTTTTCAATTGCTAAAAAGCAAACGTCCATCTACTGGGCGGTTTTCTTAAGCGTCCATCTACTGGGCAGTTTACCTTACCAATGGAATTGATAGAAATAAAAAATTAAAATACAAATAACACATAAAGTAACAGTCACATGCCTTCTGCAATATAGGGGCGGTCAACTACTTGTTTTATTAGAAATTTTCTCCTAAAAAAAAAGATTCTTCAACTTTCATTTGCGCTTATGACCCCTCCTTTTCGAGATAATCCACCAGTAATCAAGACCCATTCATTTCATCCACTAAAATTGGAATTCAGGAATAAGAAAACTCGACAAGAGAATACGGAAATACGAGGTGGTTTATTATAATAATATTTATAATCGAAGATGCATCAGTGGCAATAGCTCACCATCCAACACAAACAGAGCGAATATCCATTCATTTGTTTTCAATATATATAATTCTTTATTCTTTCTCCATTCACAAACTCCCTTGCTCTCCCCAAATAATCAATTATATCTGCCATATATTTTAATATTTACATCGATAGCCGTCTCAACAGTTACTCGTTACACGTCCTATCATTAAAACTTTTTAGTATTTATAATTAAAATGACAATTAGTACAATGTTCTTTTTATCCTCATTACTGAGTTAAATTCATGCGTGTCTGTGTGTCAGTGTAAATCTTTAGATTTTTAGTTTATCTCTCATCCCTCGTGCAATTTTCACAATTATTGCACGTGCGAGACAAAGCGATTGATTTTTCATTTTATCTACAGAATGTCGCCATAATTAACGATTAATTATAATCAACAAGGGGGGGGGGTACATATTACACGATCAGGGATTTCATTCATCTGATTTTATACACAATCATAATAATTTCTTTTTCATTAATACAATAATAATAATGAATATTGCCAAGTACCTGTGACGATTAATAAAATAATATCAAATAACTACGAATTATTTTCGTCACAACTGACTGAAATAAATCATCAGTAAATAGGTAATAATATTAATCAATAAAATCAATAAAAATTGCAATAATTTTATATAATACAAAACAAAAATGTAAAACTTGTTTTACCGGGACGAATTCACTTTTATAGTTTTTAGACTCAATTGTCTAACACTCCTTATTCCATTTAAAATTTATTTACTTTGTTTTATTTTATTTAAATTATCATCTGGACGCTTACGAGTGGTTTCAGATGGTACGTGCAACGTCGGGTTTGGTAGCAAAAGAAGAGGCCACATGATTAATTAAACGTAAACTCGTTCTACCAGACGAGGCCCTCGTTCTGCATCTGGTGTTGCTCGGGAAAACCACCGCCACCTCCGCCTCCACCGCCACCAGGACCGCCACAATTTGCGCCCCCACTGGGATTACCCTGTCCGCCACCTGAGGACAAAATAGAAAGAGTGCGGTGGTAACGATTTGAATAAAAGAAGTGAATTGAATAGGAGTGAGGGAAAAAATGGGAAAAAATGACAATCGGATTATCGAGAGATATTCCGTTATCAATTCAACTGTAATCCGAACGTTTGCACGCTTGGGTTTCAGTTATTCACACATTTCATAGAGATGATTGAAAAAAATGGGACAATTTCATGAACGCAAAAATTGATGCCGGGTGTGTGGTCGAGTGGGTAAGGTAGGGGAGGGTGTGCCTGTACCCCTCAGCGGGTAATACCGCTCACCCGATTTTCTCCACAACCATCAACTTGAAAATTTCTTTCTGTTCCTGATCATGAAGAATTTGATGACAGGATGTGATTGTCGGAAAAATTTCACTTTATTTACCACTTTAAATATGAAAAAACACGTAACGAAGTTTTGAGGTCTTTACAGTGCGAAATTTGTGGACTTGTAATTAAGGTTTTTGATAGGTTCAAACGCTGAATTCTCATATTAAACTGTGGTTATTCGATTCGTGGTACTTTCACGCATAATTTGAGACCAATTCGAACTCAAAACTCCACTCATGTCAATAATTATCAACAATTTTGTTGACGCCGAGCGGAGCCGGTAATACCGCTCATAGGATCGGCCACGTAGTTGCTCGACAGCACTCGAGTACACGTTAGGTTGCGGCGCGAGCGATACACGCAAAACCCTATTGGCGGCATTGGAATCGTGCCGAGCGGTATTACCCGACGGCGGGTAATACCGCTCAATAGACTCTCTCTTTTATTTTCGATCAAGTTTGTGGATTCTAAGGAGAATTAGGCGTCTACACTTCGAGAATAACGAGTTCAATAGTTAAAGAAGTCTCACAGAAAACGTTTTTTATACTCAAGTTGAAATATAAAATATAAAACTGGCATTTCCCCTTAGGTGGGCGGTACAGGCACACCCTTCCCTACATGACCACACGGAGGAAAAAGTTGGAGAAAAATCGGCGAATGAGTCAAGTAATCGTGGAGCGAACTTGATTTTCAGTACTTTTTCACCTTATCGGGAAGAAAGTGCGAGACCTTGCATTCTATCAAAAATTATCCCAGTGAACGTGAGTGATTGCTCTATATTGCGTCTAATTTTTCCGTAACACGTTGGGTAAAAAATCATTCTCCGTTACAGAAAAATTACATTAAAAGCATAAGTTTCCGGGTAGATAGTTGCAAACAATGAAATGGATTGGTACGACGGCCATATTGGGTGGTTTGAAGCCGCGCGTTCCTGGCGTCTGGCAACGGTCCGCACAAAGAAGCATTCATGGAAAAAATTCCCGAAAAAAATTATACAACAGTGGAAAATTCGAAAAAGTATGGGGATTGCAAGATTTTTAGCAGTACTGAAATCTTCCTTGAAAGAAAGTTGCTAACTTGAACGAAGTACTTATATATCCTTGACAAATGTCCTCAAATAGGACGGGATTCATATTGCTATTAACTTAAGGATATCCAAGTACTTTGGCTATTTTTTGTCCAATGGAATGGTTTTGTACTTTTGTAGTCGAACATCAGAACTTTCATTTGAGCCCTATTCAACTCTGTTTCCGGACATTTTACAATGATTTTATTATTTGAACTTTACATGTCTGCATTTGAATCTCGATATTTAACTGTTAAAAAACATTTTAAAAATCTGAAAAAAATTAGGAAGTTGACTGTTAGAGGAAGATGAATACAATAATTAAAAAATTGAAATTTTTTTTAATTAAGAACATTTTTTATAAATAATTTATAAATAATCAATTTTCCACCATAGAAATCGATTTTATGCCTAAAAAATAGAGTTTCTGAAAGTTTAAACAATTTCAATTATTTATTTATAAACAACGAATGTTGACGAAAGATAGATCTGTACACAACGTAATTTGAATCACGCTGAATATTCATACTTTTTTTCAAATTTTTCTCTCGCAATTTGATTGACAAATTTGATGTTTGAAAATGGTTGAGTCTATAATGTGGTTTGTACCAAACTCTAAACGATACTCGGATAACCCTGCAAAGCCCATATGTATCTTCATAAACATTATTTAATCTAAGTTTTTTCCCGTTTTTTCCATAGACACTAAGAACATAAATGCTATCAACACATGTAAAAAATTTTGGCTGAATAAGCATGTTTTTGAAAAAAATACTGATGATTCACTTGAAATACTGTCATAACATCGTAACCTACAAGTTACAGAGGAAATTGTCGTGAGCTTCTAACAGCAAAAAAGAGTCCCGCGCCGTCGCTATAACTTAGCAATTGATGCGTCGATAACCCCAACAAACAACAAAAATTGATGAGTAGAAATCAACCTTTGCTCAGTGTATTTTATCCCCATGTGGGAATGACGCATCATTTTCTGGCGTAAATCAAACCCACTTGAATAGAGCATAAAATACCCCAAAATGAGGGGTAAAATATACTACACAAGGGCTGACGCACACTCGTCGTTTTTTGTGTGAGCAAACAGTTTTTCACATGCTTAGTGAAAAAAATTTAATCGTAATTGTGTGGCATATGGCCATTTCGAAGAATTTTTGTTTTTCACGCGAATTTTCAAGAAAGATTAGTAAAAATTCGGATGTTATTATATTTCAAGGCGAGTGCCATGGGATTTTTTACTCGCGTGAAGTTGGCGTCCCAGCCGAAGGCAAGGACTGGCCAACCGCGCGAGTAAAATAACCCCATGGCAGTAATTGTGAACGCTATTTTTTCATAATGATTGTCACTTTTACGAGTTTGGGGAAGAGCCAATACCAATCCCCGGACGAGGAAAAGTGGTCAGTGCGGAAAAATTATGAGCCAAAACGTAAATTTAGCCTTTAAGTGGTCGCATCGTGAGGGAATCCCCGCTAAACCATACGCAATCTATAGGGCGCCACTGTAGAGCGAGTATGTGAGATTCTGGAAAAGCGCGATCACCTAAGGTGTTTCGGTTAAAAGTCAAAATGCTGAAAAAAAATTGGAAAATGCATGAGAGAAATTTCTAGGTATGCTGCATCATTGAGAATTCTTGCACATTGTCTTCAGATCTCAGTTGTAAGAAGAAAAATAATGAAATTTGTGTTTTTTTGGTAACCCCTCCAGCTATAACCTCCGAGGTTACCTCACTCTCAATTAGGGCAATTGCCATGGCGCCCAAAAAAATAATGAATAATTGAGGAAAAACTAGTGGATGATAAATTAAATCTTTCTTGAGAACACGTATAAGTTTCAGATTTTCTTCAGATTTCACAAGAAAGTTATTTGAACAAATGATTCGGAAAATTATGCGTTTCGGGGTAATTACGCCCTCACGCGCGGGCGCGTGATTCGAATATCAGTGAGCATCATGGGAAAGGTATGGGTTGGACCATGGAACTGAGAGAGAGAAAACACTCGACAGGTTTACTAACTCCAGACGCATTTTAATATTATTTCAATAATTAGAATAACACCCGATAAAAATTATTACACACCTTTAGATGATGAGAAAAATCAATCAATCTGATAAATAAAATCAATATTCAAAAAATGTTCAAATGCAGACTTAAATAATAACTTGACAATTGGAAAATTTCGTGGTCAGCGATTGAATCAGGGCTCGAGAACAATAAGACTCCCCTTACGTTTCACCTCCCGGTGGTCTACACACGAAACATCTTAAAAGATAATTCCAATTTGGCATATTCCCGTTTACAAGTGGGGCCAATGGCAAAAATAGTACATTATGCAACTAGTGCGGAAAGCAGGCGGTTACTCCACAGGTGATCCCGCCTGCTGTCCGCACGCATTGCGTATACTATTTTATATGATAAGTGCGTGATGAATCTTGGGGGTGGTGGGGGGGCCGAGTGGGGGGTGTGGGGGGCAAAGCCCCCCACGAGAAAAGGGGGGTCCAGGGGACGAAGCCCCCGGTAGCGGGGCGAAGCCCCCCCCCCACTGAAGAAAAAAGATCACATTTATTTAAAAAAGTAATTATAAAAAAGTGTGATTGAAAAATTATGCGGAACTTCTGAAGAAAAATTAATTATATTCATTAAATATGTAGTTCAAAAAATTTGTAAAGTATTTTTAATTGAAAAAAATTAATTATAATAATTACAAAATACAATTTTTAAAAATCGTTAAGAATTCGCAAAAAAAAAAGTTATAATTATAAAAAAATATGATACAAAAATATGATACACATCACCAATCAACTCCTCCTCATCAGTAAATAAATCCTCCTCACTGCCTAACTCTTCATCACTATCAGGAATTATACGATTTTGGCTCATTTTATCTGCTTCGAAAATCTCCTTTTCATTTTTCAGTCATTCCATGTATTCACTATTCGGAGGTTAGATTTCCTTCCTTGTTATTCTCTTGAATAGGTGATGCGCATGCGCGTCATGCGTTATTTCGGGTTTTAGTTGAGTGTGGGTAGGCGCTCGAAACCCGCTACTTTCCAGTTGACTTTAGTCAACTGAAACCCATGCGGTTACACGCACGTATCATATAATAGTATATTTCAGTACGTGTGGGGCAATATCGTCTTTAACGTGTGTGGGGTTTACAGCATGAGCCGAAGGCGAGTGATGTAACCACACACGTTAAGGACGAAATTTCCCCATAAGTACTGAACAAAATTTTATGTCACGAAGCCTGAAACCGGCTGAATTAGACACGAGACGCGAAGCGTCGAGTGTGTAATCAAGCCGGTTTCAGGCATGAGTGGCATAAAATTACTTAGGTAAGTCACGAAATTTATCCTTCTCAACATACTTTCTCCGCTGAAACTCACAGATACATAGAGAAGAAAATACAAGAAAAATTATTGTGGAATAGAGTAAAATCGGTTCACTGCGACGGATTCGAAAAAATTCAGGTGTCAGCATCGAAAATTTGGTTGTGAAATGCAGGAATTTTCCTCAGACTCGACGCGAAAAAATCATAGTAAAATTACCGATGCCGGCACTAGTGATGCCGCGAGACGAGAGATATTTGTTCTCTCGTCTCGTCGAGAGTCGAAAGAGTGTCTCGTCTCACTGTTAAAAATTTTTGTCTGACATTTCCGGTACACTTTTGAGAATTTTTATCGAATTTAATTACCCCTGAAATTTCAACTAAATTCCTCATTAAAGCCGCAGAATTTCGTTGAAAAATCAAGGAGAACTGTAAATTTCAGTTCCAGTTTTTCCTAAAAATGAATAAGAAACCAGAAAATTCCGGTAAATATCATGAAATTTCAGATTTCACTGAAAATTCAATGTAATTTGGCACTGAATATTTATATCAGAGTTGGAATTCAAATAAATTGAGGAATTCTCGTCTTTACGCTGCTTAAAATTCTGGAATTTCACTGAATTTTCAGTGAAACCTTAAATTTCATGATTTTTTCGCCCTAAATCGCAGTCAATGTCACTGTTCTGAAAATTAGTAGTCAACTGTCCATGAAATTTAATTTTTTTTCTAACAGTGCTCGTCTTTTTTCGCTCGCCTCTGACGGCATCACTGGCTGGCACCGGAATTTTTTCGGGTCCGATGAAATAAATCCGTTTTTTTGCCAACATCAATTTTTGTAGTATTTGCTTCTCGTTTTTCTTTTATAGTATTTGCTTCTTTTTTTCGAAGGATTCGGCAAAATTGAGGTGTTAGCGCTGGTAATTTTGTTGTGAAATACAGGAATTTATCTAGGACTCGACTGGAAAAATTCCTGCCGGTGATTTTTTTTGGACGTAGTAAAATCCATTCGACTGCTAGCACGGAAATTTTTTTTTGTTTTTTTTTCGCCGTGTATCACTCCTCCTTCCATTTAAATGAAATTTAATTTGGGAATAAAAAGGGTATATTCATCTTTGACCTCGTAATTTTTCCCAACTTTCCCTAAAAATTTCCGAAATAGGTATTCCGACACACGTTTATGTGCGAGTGATCACATGATTTTTCTTGGAGATTTTTCCCGATTTGTGGAGACGCGGTGCAAATTGCGTAAGGACGAGGCGAGTTTGTAATTATTGGAAGTGTAAAATTATGATTCCATTGCAAACGACGTATTTCTCGATGAGAATGGAAAAATCCATGGAGAAGTACTGGATCAAAACGAGATAAGTTGAGATGAAAATATAGATGAGATGGAGACAAGAGGGATAGAAATTGGAAAACGATTTTTATGCCAAACAAAGTGTTCGAGGCAAGAATCCAATTGCAGATTCTCTGTGGAAATTCCGGGTATTGATTTGTTCCAGATGAATCAGCTTGGCATAAATCAATTCTTCTGCTAGCACACGAATTTTTATGAGGGCCTCTTCTGTAAAACGCAGTAAGAGCTGTAGAAAAGATCTGTGAGAATTTCCTACCTCTCTTGAGTTGTCAGATATTCTCCGTAAACTAATTTTCACGGGAAATTGACTCATCTCATTCCACGATGTCTTTAGTGCATGCTTTTTATTTCGACGAGACCGATGACTTTTTTCCTCCGGTAATTGAGTTGTTGATAAATTGATTTTCACGATATTTTTTCGAATGTTTTATAACTGGTGTTTACACGGAAAAAAGGATGATGGTAGAAAAGTTGGCTTCAAATAACTATTTGCATGACCAAAAAAAATGAATTTTCCCTAATTTTTAATTACCTCACACTGTAAAAAATTTTGTGTAGTCGGTGTCCCACTGAGTCAACACCGTTTTTGACAATTCAACACCAATCGGTATTCCAGGAAATCCACACCGCATTTTTTACTGTGCAAGGTAATTAAGACAATCAATTGTTATTCAGCGCTGCTGTTCGCGGAAAATATCCACGGAGAGAAAAGTTGTATAAAAATTACCTAGAAAATCGTGGCAAATTTTACTGTAAGAAAGGTACTCGTAGAGTGAAATGTACACCCAAAGAAATCGGTCTGAATCCACTCGAACTGAATCATGTCGGGAATCAACTTGTTTCATGTCAAATTGACGACATGAATCAAATCGGATTCGGACGGATGCAAATCGCAATATCGGTCTGATTCACATCGAGTTTTCGACTTGACTCAGACTGAATTCGTCTTGATTCAGGTCGATTTTTCGGTTTGATTTAAGCCAATTTTTTAGTTTGATTCAAGCCAACTTTTTGGTTTGAGTCAAGCCCATTTTTCCGCTTAATTCAAGTCGACTTTTCGGTTTAATGGAAGCCGATTTTTCGGGTTAATTCAAGTCAATTTTGCGGCTTGATTAAAACCGCTGTCGACATGACACTTTCCTACTTGAAACAAGTCAGTTTTCGATTTATATCAGACCCGGAATCCGGATCGGTGTAGTCCACATCACTCGGCTTTTGAATCAAATCGAAAATCGAGTAGAATCAAGCCGACGTCGACTTGAATCAGTACGTCTTTTCTTGGGTATAATTCAATGAAAAAATACATGGGGATGAATGGAAGTGAAATTTTCCCAAACAAAGTCGGTAAAAAATAATTTTCCTTTATGGACAAATTAGACGCAATATTGAGCGCAATCATTCATGTTCACCGGGATTTTTCTTTTTTTGAATGCAGTGTAAATTTTAGTTTCGGCACAAGTTACCCTCACGTTTAGTAAATTTATCGTTTATGGTTCATAGCCTGAAAGGATAATAAAGGATCGAGACAGTCGAATAACAATTCACGATCGATTTTAAATGACTTTTTATTAATTACCTGACGGCGCTAGGAACTCTCCAGGGCTTCCACCTGAGGTTGGTTGAGGTCCTTGACCTGGAGGCCCTGTCAGGAATTCGGGAGGACCACCAGCAGCTCCTGGAGGTGGATATTCACCTGCCACTGCTGCTGCCGCCGCCATTCCTGCTATACTGGCTGGATCCAAACCTGTTACAAACAGATTGGGAACTGTCATCAGATTACATCGGGTCTTGTTCACATCTCCGAAATTCAGGGGCTTGGGTAAACTAAAAATTGGGTCTTCATATCGAAATAAATATAAAACTTTGCACTATCCTCGAACTAAATCAATTGATAAGGGAGCCAGGGGCACAATGACACTAGGAAATAAACGCAAAACTCTATCTCATTTTGCCCCAGTCTCCCCTGATCTATTAAATGACACTAACTGCAGACTATTTCACAAAGATGTTCGAATGTATGGCTCAGAGAGGATCCTCGAAAAAGCTTTTATCTGCTAAAATCACTTCATTCAGAATGTAAAATGTGAAATTCTCTAATTCATGAGTAATTTCAGCAGCGAAGTGGTAAGACGGTTCAAGTTGATTTTAACTATTGGTCAGTTTTCCATCACTAGGGGGAGCCGGGGCATGACGGGGTAGCCGGGGCACGATGGGGTACCTAGAAAAATGTCAAAATTTTTCAAAATCTTTGTTTTGGACTAGTTCCAGAATATAGTGCTTAGAGTAATCCAATTTGAAGTTTTCAAGATGTTTGCAGCACTGGGAAGATCGAAAAAATTAATGGAAAAATCGAAAAAATGAGAAAAAAATCGTTTGTTTTGTTACTGGAAATTATTCCTCACTATGGTACAAAGCCCAATTCCATGCAACAAATCATATTCCCGCCTGGTAGATGATATTTTCCATCATAGGGAATAACCGGGACACAATGGGGTACTTTTTTCTTCAAAAATTTAGAAAATTTCATAGAAATAATTTTATTTGAGAATCAACTGTTAACACTTGTCAAAATCAGTTTATGGTCTTCGTCCAACCATGGATAAGTTAATGGAAAGCATAACTCCTATAGAATTTTTTAAGACCCACGAGAAGATGGCAGATATGCTCAGAAGTTTAAAAGTCGTCTGGGAGCACTCGAAAGCATTCCGACGAAAAAAAATCTCAATCTTTCATTGAGTAACATTATAACATCTCAACCTCTGTATTGATTCGCAACCCTTCTTTTGTAGTATTTCAGACAGTCAACTGTCAAAACTAAGGGAAAATCGCTCTTCGAATTTTTACAATTTTTAATGAGTACCCCGTTGTGCCGACAAACGTTAAATATTGCCGACGCAAATTGACCATTTCAGGGGCCAAATGTGAGTCAAAAAAAAGTAATTTTGTCATGAAGGATGAACTGAAATGGTCCTCCCTCTCTTAGGTACCCCGTCATGCCCCGGCTCCCCCTATCTCAGAATCTAAGACCAATAGCAAAATTGTAACCTTGTTTGATGTACTGATAAATTTAGGGTGGATTTGGGAGGTATTTTTACTGAGCACGTGCACGTCAAATTCTATTTACACTGAGTTGGTTGTAGTTAATATTAATTTGTTGAATAACGAATATCGTTTGATTTACTTGGAAATGTAAATTATGACAATCATGTTGCTCTAGAAGATGACTATGTTTCACTTGACCTTGGATTAACTCCAATGATTATCCATTTTTCCAAAATTTCTTATTTTCTACAGGGAAGAATTTCGATTAATTTTTTAATGTTGATAATTATTGAAGGAGTTCAGTCAGGATCATAACTAATATAATCATCCTCTAGAGCTATATAATTGTTATAATTGAAACTTAATGAGAATTGCCTGGAAATGCATCGACTGGAGAAATAGGGTACTGAAAAAATAAATGCTTCTGTCAAGTAAACGAATATTCGGCAAGAATAGATTTTTTTCTCAGTGTACTTGTCGTTAACGTATTCTGTTAAACCCGTTGAATTACTAAGGATTCTAGACGTAGAGAGACTACCACTCTGGGTGATATACTTTGAGCGACACATTGATTCTACTACTTTAGTAGAAATTGATCGAAATTCTGCGATATTGGGCCAAAAAACCTATGCCTATAACATTGAATGTCGCGTGCCAACTCACGCCGCGAAGTTTTTGCGCCATGAAATTTGTACTAGGGTAATGCTGATTAGCTACCAATTTGCGAGGTTTTCGTGACCGTCTGACCGTTGAACCGAAGGTTCCCGATGATGCTCGAGGATCGTCGATAGGAACGACCATTTCACCGATAGATATTAAGCTAGGATGTAAACAAATCCCTTTTGCAGAGCTAATTAAAAGCTATAAAAAAGATTATTATGATTATTTTTCTCACTCGGATTTCAGCCAATCAGAGCGCAGTATTTGAGGCTGTCAGTTTTATTTCGGAAATTTCTAAACAATTTCCGACAGAAATTTACTAGTAGCTTTTCAAATGTTTCTCATCCTTCAACGCATTTCACGTTTAATATTCTGTGTGACGGATAAACAAAAAAGTGGGTTGTAAATGTATGGCTGTGTAAATGTATCCGGATGCTGTTCACTGCACTCTGCTTGGCCGAAATCCGAGTGGAAAAATAATCCGTCTAATACCACTCGTACTTCAAAATTAATTGGATATTTTCCTCAAGCTTCCCTGCCTAGGAACGAGTGTGGCAATTTTGCAGAAAAATCCCTCGTGATTCGCACTCGAGATTTTAAACCTGCAAAATTTGACACAATCGTTCCTAGGCAACGAAGCTATCGGAAAATATTCGATAATTTTGAAGCACTAGTGGTATTACTACGAAAAATTTCGTTATATGAAGGTATTCTTCGGAAACCCAATTACACTGATAGAAAGGATTAATTATTTGTTAACAAATGAATTTGGTTGGAGACGAGCGTCTAGTCGGTCTCACCAAATGTTCATTTGTTAATAGTTAACAAATGCACATTTGAGAAGCCTTGTTTGACTCAATTTTCACTTTTCAAGTGAACTATTAACGAATATTTATTTGGTCAAATTCAACTCTACAATTCGTTAATAGTTAGCGAATCTCGTTTAGAATAAATCAATCAGTCCATCAGTGTAAGAGCTCAGTCGACTTACGGCATATATCCCTAGAAAACACGCATTTCTCAAGATTGTCCCCATGTTTTCCATAGATAATGTTTATAATAGTCCCCAGCTATTGAAAAAAATGCTAACTAGTTGTACTGCACAGTTTAAGAGATAAATAATGAAATACGAGCTTTTAACACGCAAGGCATAGGCCAAACGGGAATTATGAGTCCTACCGAACTTGATTTTCCCATCTTATGAGAAAACGGTTCTTACGATGTTCTTAAAAAACTAATCCGTGATAGATTGATAAATTCCGAAGACGGTGAATTTTTTGTAAAATGTTATACTACATAGTTTCTGCAATATTCAACTCTAAAAAAATGAAAATTTTGTGAAAGCATTCCTTATTTCAGTAGTGAAGCAGTAAACCGGTATAAGTCGATTTTGACTATTTCTCAGTTTTCAATGAATATCTCAAAATCTAAGGGAAATAGCAAAACTTTTGTCACAACCTTTTTTGTAGAGCAAATTGAGAGCTACAAAAAAGGAAATTACAACAATTTAGTCATTTCCCTTAGATTCCGAGATATTTATTGAAAACTGGCCAATAGTCAAAATCGACTTATACCAGTTTACCACTTCCCTACTGATTTGATTCAAGCAGTTATTGTTGCCTGCATCAACAACACATGAGAATATAAAAATTCAATAACTTATGAGAATGCAATGAATTAAGATAGTTAGAATTTTTCCGGAAATCCATAGGGACTAACTCTATATTCAACCTGCCGAATTCAGACATGCACTTGAGAAATAACACGTCGAAAATTTGTTGACTCGTCTGGCCTTATTATTTTCCTAGTTAACCGAGATTATTCCGCCATTGAATGGTTTAGAAGCTCATCACCAACAGTTCCCAAACTGTTTTCCTCCATTGAAAATGTCTGATAAGGAATTTCCCTTGAAGATCAAGTCCTTACTAAAGAGTTTACATTCCAAGAAATTCCCTGATGGGCTTAAACACACTTTCTCCGCGCTCTAAAACAGTATCAATCAATTCGTCTCATCCTACTTTGATTGTTTATATCAAATATTAATTGGAAGTCACTATATTAACCTTCTAATGCCAATCAGCCATGAGACGCCACAAGAAGCGCCGGAGAAGGGAGCACGCGCTCATCGGAACAATCTCATCGGCATCAGAGGGTTAATCATTTAAAATGGAGAAAATGAAGTGTGAAAAGAATTAGCATAATTCTGCGACCGTTGAACAGAACTACAATATTATTCTGCGCTGATAGTTGTGATAATGATGAATGATTGAAACTTGTTCAATGACTGGTAATTGGTCTATGTTGATTATTTATAATGATTAAAACCTGTTCTGTATCGAAATATTGTTCTGTTTCACGTTAAAAATTGTGCAAATTATGGTTTTATGTAGAGGAAAGTATTATCTAGAGAAAATTACCCGTGGCGAAGGGACCTTTGTAGTTTCACCGAATAATGCAAAAGAAATTTTCTGATTGCAATTTTTTTATCACAAAATGCAAGATTTAAAGTTGCTCTCTTTATGTTTTTAGTATTGAAAATATGATTTTTTCGTGAAGAAAACGAATTCAGTCCGTGGTGTTTACAAAATTTAATTGTCTTGATGAACTTACCAGGGTTTCCTGGGCCAGGAAACGGTGGTCCATGCGGATGTGGTGGTGGATGCGCTCCGAAAAACTCATGGTGAAAGGCAACTGGACCACCATAAGGGAAGTCAGCGAATTTCTCGCCAGGGAAGTACGGAAAACCCGGTGGTGGTCCATCTTCGCCTCCCAACGCCCCGTGATTTAGGTTGAGCGGAAAGCCCCTCATTTTTCTCGAGCCATTGAAGAAAGGACTTCTACCCATTGTCGTTAATTGCTTCAGCCTACGCTCTTTACTTCTTTTGTTTTGAAACCAAACCTGGGAACAAGACAACAACAAAAACCTTCTTTAATGTCAAAAATTTTTAAAAATCGAACCCCACAGGATTCTCAAACCTCCTCTATTTTTCAACATTCATTTGAAACTTCTAGCTACATGTGTATGGGTCGAGGGGCTGGTCACTCCTCAACCGAGTGACTCAGTGATTTCCAGAATCAGATGATTTTCTGTGATTTTCTGTTGATTCCTGTGATTTCGCGAATGATTTTTGTGATTTCTCAATCAACATTAGAAATCATGATTTCTTTGGATTTCTTGTGATTTCCACGATTTCTAGTAGATTCCAATCATTTCTTGATTTCAAGAAATCACTGGAGAAATCATGATTTCGGGACCAGAGTGAGGCATCTGTCGATAGTGGTAGTTTTCTACATGACGTTACAATACGTAAAGATGTCAAAAACTTCATAGCGTCGCATTTCGGGATTAGTTAATTTCGAACGCACCGATACCATAATAAAAATTGTAGAATTAAAATGGCAAAAACAATTTCGATTTTACACTTATCGATGATTTCGAATGATTTCGGAAATCACTTCATTTCTTCATGATTTCTATTGATTTCCGATGATTTCCTGAAATCTATAGAAATCACTACCGAAAATGGAAATCACTTGATTTTCAGTGATTTCTTCCTTGATTTCCAGTCGAGTGGTCCAGTGATTTCCTAAGTGACTAACCCCTCGGTATGAGTACCACTCCCGCGTTCATATCAACTGATCTGAGGCACCTTGTTTTCAAACGGAGGTTTCTGAAATAGTATGTTTCGATACGAGTGAGACCAAATTTTCAGCTCCAGTTCAGTGATTGGCAGAACTCGGCTTTCCGAGTGGAAATTTCGGTCAGGTCCTGATCAAGTCCGGATCAGGTAAGACCTGCCCACGGATCCGGTTTTGATGAAGTTAACGGATCAAGACTTGATCAAACATGTAACGCCCCTGACCAATCCGGATTTGATCAGAGCGAATTGATCTGAACTTAATTAAGCCAAGTGCATACGAACCGGATGATCTGTCCACCGGTATCAATAATAATTATCCACGATGATTAATTCAAAACAAAAGATAATTTACTTGTTTCGCTGTCAATCGCCCCTTTTAATGAATTCCTAACGCAATTGCCGCTGAAAAAACGTTATTATTTTTACCGATGGAGGGGATCGAATCGGGGACCCTACGATTACTAATCCTATGCCCTAACCACTAGACTATTTTTGTCTTTTTAAACATGTTTATTTAGCCAAAGTTTATAATTGCAGAGTGTGTCAATAATGTTGGTCTTAGTGTCTACGGGATAAACATGATGAAACGTAGATAAAATGGATATAAATTCATAACGGAGAATACATACGGCTTCACACGCTTCGCTTCTCAACAATGTGGTTTTGTTTTTTAAAATAATTTTTAGTTTTGTGATAATTGGCAGGTACTATGATGCGCCTGTGGCGTTTTTTGTAGTTTAGTGTGACCAGGAATTGGCCAGTAAACCACTAGACTATCGCCCTACTACTGTCAAGGAGACTTCATATTGCCTACATGACTCAGTATTCGTTAACTTTGGAATTATTTATGATTTTGAAAATTTTCCCGTATGTTCCGAAGATTAATATTTATTCAATTAATTTTTATTTACATCATCAATTGATAATAAAGGTGATGGTAATAACAATAACACTGATAAATGGAAACTTGGTGCATTCACGATAAGTTGTGTATAACTTTGATGACACTTTTACTATATATTGGTGATACTGTATATATTCCCCCCCTTCCGCCACATTTGATACTAAAAAGTCGAATTTTGCAGAAGGATTATTAAAATTGAGATTAGGTGGACTGGATCCGAATCAGATCAAACTCCATTCAGGCAGCCTGAGCTCAGGGTGACATCATGCCTACCTGATCCCCATACACTGATAGAATGATTCATTTATTCCAAACGAGATTCGTTAACTAATAACGAATGGTAGAGTTGAATATGACCAAATGAATGTTCGTTAATAATTAACGAATGGTTCACTTGAATGGCGAAAGTCAAGTCAAACAAGGTTCCTCAAATATACATTCGTTAACTATTAACGACTGAACATTTGGTGAGACCGAATAGACCCTAACCTCCAACCAAAATCCATTCGTTAACAATAACTAATCTGTTCTATCAGTGTACAGTGGGATCTCCGTAACTGCTCACCTACGTAAGTGCACGCTGTCCCACCACACGAGGGGAAGTGTTCCCCCACCACTACAATTCCCCTTTATGCTCGTTCTCTCTCTAACCTCTTCCGCTCTCTATGTACAATGCGCGAGGACTGTGCGCAATATTATTCTGTTTGCCCGGTACTTCGCTGTGTGTGGTTATCCATGAAACTACACGCATCTCTTTCTAACTCAGCGCTCTCGCTCTTTCGCTGGCGAAGAAGGGTCCTTTCATAAGTGCAAATTCCGAGAACCCAAACCCCGGGAGGTGTGCAGTTATGGAGGTTCCACTGTAATTCGAAGCGGACGGACCTCAGTCTATAAGATCAGGCCCACCTAATTCAAATTTGATCAGAACAATTGTAAGTGGACTGTTCATCAAAATAATTACCAAAATAATTACAGGCGGGCGGACGGATTTCAGGCGGGTGGTAACCGCAGAAATAAGAGACCTATGCAAAAGAACGTGTTACATGCGGAGAAAAAAGTTGTGGAAAAAATACCTTGGAAATTACGTAAAAATTACGTTGTTTAGTGTAATTGCGATGCATCGCTACTAATTCACAGAAATCACTATTCTTCGCGTAAATTTTTAGGCAATGATGCTCGAAATCACCAAAATAATTTTTTTCCAAGTCACTGAAATCATTCGAAACCGACTTCATTTCGAATTCATGGTGTCACTCAATTATGGACTACGTAGCCCCTCGGTTGAATGTTTTTTTTATTAACTATACCTGTATCACTCTCATTGGCAGACCAGTCTCCTTGGCCAGTTGTTCCCTAATATGTCTTGTAGGTTTCGGCGTCGCCGAGAACGCAGTCTTGAGTATCTCCAATTGTTTCGCCTTAATAGTAGTCCTGGGCCCCCGCCTCTTAGAGCCAGCACCCCCGTCACCACTACCACCCCCCGCCCCACCATCAGGACTCTTGTTCTCCGTCTGACTGTCCCTCGTCTCAGGATCACCATCCAATGAACCTATAAGAATCCATCACAATTTTTCGTTCAAATTTCTGCGTAATAATTCCGCAATTTTCAAATATCATTCGATACATCAATAAGCGGAAGATTTGAATTTCAATTAATAAACGAGTATTATACAAGAAAGGGGGGAAAGATAAACTCTTCAATTTCTTGAGAATTGCCCATCCAATTTCTTTAGCGATAAAATTTTTTTGGGTGTTAAGTTCAATCGACTTTTCATTAGAATGTACCGGCAATTCCCTTGCATGGTGACCAGTCTAGGATTAAATTGTATGTGATGTTTAATTTTCACGATGCGTTTGAAAATTCAAGCTTTTATTGAAAAATCAATGATTGTTTGACATGAAAAACCGAATTTCCTTGAATTTTCAAGATGAATGAGAAATTTACTTAATACTTCCATTTCAAGTTGAATTCAACCTCACAACATCGAAAATTGAGATGACGCTGTGAGTGAAAATTTAAGAAATTTCTAACCGTGTATAATTATTTATAGAATCATTTTGACTACAACATTCTGGTTGTTCCATCATCATTGAACTAGCAAACTTCAGAGAGGCCTGGACATTCCACTCGTATATTAGTTGATCTCAAAAAAATTTTCAATTACTGCATATGTGTGAAGCATCAAAAAATAATTCTAACGATATGCAAATTTCGTCTGACTCTTAAGCTGCACAAACAGTTAGACAGCAGGTATATCCCAAGGGCTCTCGAGTGATTATGTATATGTATCCGTTACCCATCGACGCGCAGACAATCCTAGGGGGGTCGCATGCGCCCCACCACATCCCCGGAAGCTAGTGATATAAGTTACCCCTCGTGCCAAGGATTATTACCAGAAGAGTGGATACCCCAAACCAATGGGGCAACATCACGATAATCTACCGAAATTTCTATCTCAAAAGCACAGGGTGGTCTTAACCGCGGGGACAAAAAAAAATGTTTGGACAGTGTCACACCGCACAGAGCACAACCCTCGCCCGCACTGATGCCCCAAAAGTTTTATCGTGTACAAAAGCAGAGGCGAGTGGATGGGAACACCATTGTCATCAGTAGCTCCACTCTTTTTCTTTTTTGCTTTGTTTTGTTCTCCTCTGTTCTGTTCTGTTGGCTTCTCTCTTTCCTTTGAGCATTGATAAAAGAGCAGGGGCCGGTATGGGTAACAGGGTACTGAGGCGTAAGATGGAGTTTTGGGTATCATGCATCGGTGGAGTTGAGTGCGAATCATGTTTGTTGATTTTAGGTTTTGGAGCGTGAGCCATTGGGTCCAGTCTTTTGATGATTGCGGGAACTACACGGCGAGAAAATTATCCCTAAAAAGTACCCCATTTTTTCATTAATTTCGGGAAGAAACTAAATGACAATTGAAGTTATATCCTTCAACGAAAAAAAATGTAACCAAAAAATGATACTTTATTTTAAAATTTCAAAGGTCAAAGATTTTCAAAAGATTTTATTGGAATAAATGAAAACTGAAATCCTTAAATTGAGAATTTTGGAAGTTTCAATTTGAGAATTTGACCACCAAAAAACAGTACTGATTCAAGTCGACGACGACTTGATTCTCGTTGATTTTCGGCTTGATTCAAGCCGAATGACTCGGACTACGCCCATCCAGATTCCGGGTCTGATGAGTCGAAAAGTGGTTTCTTTCAAGAAGAAATGAGTCAAGCCGACATCGGTTTGAATCAAACCGAAAAATCGACTTGAATCAAGCTGAAAAATCGACTTGACTCAAGCTGAAAAATATACGTGAATCAAACCGAAAAATCAACTTCAATCAAGCCGAAAAATCGACTTGAATCATGCCGAAGTCGACCTGAATCAAGTTGAAAAATCGACTTGAATCAGACCGATATTGCGGTTTGAATCTGTCCGAGGCCGACTTGATTCGTACCGTCAATTCGCCATGAAATAAGTCGATTCCCCGCATGATTCCGTCCGACTTGATTCAGACGAATTTTTCCGTTTGATTCAGGACGACTTTTTGTGGGTGAAATTTCAATTTAACCTTCTTGAATGTCTCAAGTTCAAACTTTCGAATGTCTCAATTTGAGACTTTCATAGACTCAAGTTGATATATTTGAATGCCTCAAGTTAAGACTTGCGGAAATGAAGTTGAAATTTTCCTTCATCACTCCATTGTTCGCGTTGGACTTATGACTGTTGTTGGTCACGTCGTTAGCGCCGCGCCGCACAGCAATAATCGACATGATGATAAATTTGAAATATGTAGGAAAAATCAGAAAAAAATCAACACAAAGTTTATTTGAAAGTCTTAACTTGAAACTGTTGAAAGTCTCAATTTGAGACTTGGAAGTCTTAATTTGGGACTTTTGGAAGGCTCGATTTGAGACTTCACAAAGTCTCAACTTGATACTTTTGAAAGTCTCAATTTGAAACGTTGTTCGGAAGGATGATGGGGAAAATAGTCAGCGTTAATACCCCAAGACTTTCAAAATTATCGGATATTTCCCGAATGTTTTGTTGCGTAGCAACGAGAGGGATCAGTTTTGCAGATTAAAATCCCGAGCGCACAGCGCAAGGGATTTAACTGCAAAAATGATCCCGATCGTTGATATGCAGAAAAACGTGAGGGAAATAGCCGATGAATTTTGAAGGTCGAGGGGTATTCTTTTTTTTTTTTTTATATTCCAGCCCTTTCTGCCCTCTGATTGGCTAATCGGCCCTATCCAACCCTATGCATGCGACTGTAGATTTTACACTGCACCGCATTCGCACTCCCATAGAACATAGAAGTAGCATGGGAAACCATAGAAAATCCATGCCGGTACAGGCGGTCACTATATTAGCGACCTCCCGCTCGCCGGAGCCTCCGGTTGAAAAAATCGGTTCCACGGGGAATCGAACTCACAACCTTTCGCACACTAGGCTCGCACCTATCCGCTTCGGCCACCGACGTCGGTGTCGAGGGGTATTCGGAGGACAATTTCTTCAATTCTGGTTTTGGCCGATCAGGGTGCAGTGTTCGGGGTTACGGGACACATTTCACCAAAATGTGAGGAATATCTGTCAAATTCGTAGAAAACAATTGACAGGCTACAGGGAAATTATCAGTGTGAAACGCGTCATGTGACCCCGAATACTGCACTCTGATTGGTCAAAATCAGAATTGAGGAAATTGTCGACATAATTCTCTTTGACTGAACCACTGGATATCGAATTCCGCAATTCTATTGGTTTGAAGGGTGATGGGAGAAATAATCGGGAAAATTTTTACAGACTTTTAACACTAACACAATTTCTTCTTGGACTAAAGAATTTTCTCACTGAATACTGAGGAAAAAATCCCTAAAATTTAGAGTCGAAAAATCAATGGATCTTATGGTAATTTGATTGGAAAGAGCATCTTATTTAAGAGGTAATGGACCCCTTGTATCTGTGTGGGATTCTGAATTATGTTTCCCTATAATTGTTCATTTTTATCAATGAACAAACTTCAGGCACTGCACGATTAATAGTAATAAAATGCTTGAAGTTGTTTGCTTTTATAGTACTTCGGCGCACAAGGTCACAAATTTCGTGATCAACGAATGTGAAGTTTATAGACCGAGCCAAAGGCAAGGTCTGTACTGGCGTTCGTTGAAAACGAAGTTGATGCCCGAGCGGTCCATATAATATTTTATATTACTCCATACAGAAGTCGAGTTTAAAGCACGCTGCGTGAAGCGCAGCGTGCGATAACCTGACATATTGTGCGGAGCGATGAAAGAAATTAATAATTGTGCACACGACGATTGCAGAATTCAGTACATCCAGGGGGTCCATTGCCACTTAAAATAAGAGACAAAACACTTTAATTTTTAGAATATGTCACTTGTTCAATTTTAGAACCGCGAGTTCTTAAAAATGACAAATATTACTCCAAGAACTAAAACTTTGTTTTCTATTTTGAAATTTTCCTATTTGGTTCAATAATATTATTTTAATTAATCTGTCATGAGAATTGCACAACATTCTTTCTCATTGCAAATGATTTTTTAGTTTGACATTGACTACTTCTGCTTCCTAGTACTGAAGTATTTGACGTGAACAAAATAAAATGATAATTACAGTAACAATAATCAATGTGATTACTTACTTATACACGGATTCTTGTGGGAATTGCGGTAAACACAACAATATATGATCTATCTTTTGATTATTGATCACTTGAATACAGAATCTGGATGGATTGAAGCAAAATGCATAATCTAAAGACCAGTACGAATGTCCCGTTTGAATTTTCAAACAGTGTGATGATTTATTTGTATGGACTAGACCCGTCAATTTACTATTCTTTTTTAATCAAAACTAAATTATCGGATCAGCATTTACTTAGAAAATCTGTCTTAAGACTTAGTGACGTTTCGAGCTTAAGGTATTTATGGCGGGGTGGGCATCTAGGAGGTGAGATGGAGGGAAATCTATTGTTCATTCGCAGAAAGCCAATTACTGAATAAAAACAAATATTTCAATTACAAATTTTCCATCTATTTCAAGCATTTTTGTGTTCGAAATATTTTTTTAATAACTTTTCTATTCTTTTCCCACATATTTCACGCCTTCTTCTATTTTTCTAGCTTGTCTTTTCGATACTTGGAAAATAATTAATATGGATAGAAAGTAGATATTTCTACGTTCCGTTCTGTAAAATTTCGCAATCGTTGGGGAAAAATTAAAGAATGACTTGTTGTCCCCACAGTGTGTCATCAGAGGGGTGGTTAATTTGTACGGAACAAATTGTAAAATTTACGTGGCAATCCGTACAATTTCAGTTCCGACTCACGTTTTTTTATTGAATTTTACTTCGCTCGCGGATTACGTTTCGAAACGTAGTTGCTACGTTTTTTTTCTGGTAGTTTTTATTGAATTTTTCTCTCCGCGTATATGAATAATGTAAAATAACCAAAAATTAGGAACAACGTACACGGAGAGAAATATTCAAGTAAAATTACGGAACATTTCACGTAATCCGCAAGCGAGAATCGTGTTCAATGAATTTCTATAGGAATATGTATAAGAGAATAAATCTGAAACGTTCAGTAAATTTTCGGGTCTGTCCCGAAAAAATACGAAAAAGTCACGTAATTGTTCTGGAAGTTGTAAAATCTAACAGAAACTTCAAGACTTAGTATGCCTCAGAACATGAAAATTCTTGGATGTTTAAGAATTTTTACGAAAAGTTTCAGAAAAATTACGGAACATGCATGTTGCTAAAATCTCCCCCTCACGGTGACTCATGGCTAGCCGTGAGGCGTCGGACGGATGAGTAATTTTTACGGAACAGATCGTAGAATTTACGTAACGATTGACACTTTTTATTGAATTTTACTTCGTTCCCAGATTACGTTTCAAAACGTAATTTTTACGTCTTTTTTCTGGTAATTTTTATTGAATATTTCTCTCCGTGTATATATCCAAGGACAGTGTAAATAATTTTATAATAAATTGAGCACTTTAAACAATAGAAAAGTAAATAGAAAAAACTTAATCTCACTTAAAATAGCATATTCTCCCATAGAAAGTTGTCTTTCTTCTCTTACCTTGATCCTCCGAGTCCTCCTGCTTGCACGAGTCACTCCCCAGGGGTAGATCACCACCGTGAACCACCGATTGATCACTAGCACTGCCTGGGCCAACGCCGTGGCCCCCTAAATGTCCACCACCACCTGCATGATGATGATGATGTCCACTACCATCATCGTCCTCATCCTCCGATCCGGACCCCATCAGCGAATCTCCACCTGTCGGCAGAATCGGCGATTCTTTTACGAATCATCGAAAGGTTTTTCAAAGGTTAAAACTCTATTTTTTTGTCCATCAATAAAATAAGAACTATTGGATTTTTTGTAATAAAAAAAATGGGGAATAATGACGTTTGGCGCCTGGTCGGCACGTTCTTTTCGGTGGAGTTGCCTTGTGGTTTATTCCCTGCGGTTGCCTGGCGGCATGCGACAAAAGGAAACCCACTGCGTAACGTAACGACCCCTTCGTGGTTGAAAAAAAAAAAGAAAAAACCCCACGAGTGACCCGAGAGAGCCGAAAAAAATGTAGGAATAAAAAATGAAGATGGAGAAAGGTGAGGAGGAGAATGAGAGGCGCTCGCTCGAACGCTTCCCCCTTTTTCGTATAAGGGCAGTGTTGGTACAATCATATGCAGTGTTTTCACAGCTTGTTCACCCGTCGGCTGCGTTTCACCCTGCATACAAACTTTGATTCGAGATACTCGGTGGGATAACAAGGGTGAGATATTTTTATGACGCGTTAAACCATGAGTTTTTTTTTATTTCAATTCACCCGTTGGAGAATAACATTACTAGGTTTGGTGAAGTTAATTGTTGACTTGACATTTACATGTAGAATTATTTCTGTGAATTCTTCTGTTGCGATAATCTTTTTGTTGTAAAATTGAAATGATAATTATTTGCAGGGAGAAACAAGCGGGGTTGTGAGCCTATTCGACAGAAGCGATATGACCGTTACTTTAGGCGTTGTTACACGGAGAAAAAAATACCGGAAAAATTAGTGTGCTGGCACGGTAAAATGGGTTCAATAATTTTTCGCGGTAAATCCGAGAAAAATTCCTGTAGCGCGCAGTAAAAAATTTACCGTGCAAGTACAGTAATTTTTCTGGTATTTTTCTCTTCGTGTAGTCTTTTTTGTCTTTCTCTGCCAATTCCATTGGTAATAAGCTTCCGAGTGGATCTGCAGCAATGACTTTAGGATAAATTTTGCCTTGAAAATCGTTGCCAAAAAACCATTCTTGGAAAATTGGTCCTCGGCAAACTGTTTCTCTTTTTTATGACGCTGTTTTCATCGTCATTTCATCAGATATTACATCATATAAAATAGAAAAGAACATAAATTTTGAATATATGACTAGGGGCTACGCCCCCTGTTCGCTCCGCTCGCCAACCCCCATATAACGCCATATGAGCCCCATGACCCTTATCATTCCAGGATTTTCACCAAAAATCCTGAACAAATTACACTGTTAAAAATTTGGGTCTAAATTTTCCGTACCAAACTCCGGAAATTTTTATCGTGTTCAAGTTCCACTAAATATTCAGGAAATCTTGTCATGGAAAACTTGAAATTTCGTGGAAAAATCAAACAGAACTGTAAATTTTCGCTGCATTCTTTCCTGAAAATGACTAGAAAACGAGGAAATTCTGGTAAATATATTCTTGAATTTTTAAAACAGTGACACTGAATGCGATTTAGGGGGAAAAATCATGAAATTTCAGATTTCACTGAAAATTCAATGTAATTTCACACTGAATATTCATATTAGATTTTAAATTCAAATAAATTAAAGAATTCTCGTCTTTATGCCGCTTAAAATTCTGGAATTTTACTGAATTTTTAGTGAAACCTGAAATTTGATAATTTTCTTTCCCTTGAAACGCATTCAGTGTCACTGTCCTGAAAATTGGTAGTCAACTGCCCATGGAATTTCATTTTTTATTCTAACAGTGTATAATTACTTAGAAAAATCGTCGTGCAGCACTAGAAATTCGATTTTGCAGCATCATAATACAGCACTTTGCGTTCAAGAAAATTTCATGGACATGTTGGAAAAATTATGGTGCTGCACAACAATTTATGTGCTGCAAAATAAATTTTTTATGGTGTTGGCACATGATTTTTTTTAGGAATTTCGTTCTCGTTTAGAATAGTCGTTTCTGTGGAAGAAAGAAAGGTAGTGATTCAGAATCACCCAATAATTCCTAACGAATGGATCCTCTGATTATAATTTTGCTCGTAAATAAAATCCTGAAAATTCTCTATTGACAGTAAACTCATAAAAAACACACCAAGGTATCTCCTGTGCCACAACTTTTGTTGAAAGTAATATACGACTGAAAATATAGCAATTTCAAACTTTCATATCTTTTGAGTTTTGGTGATAAAATTTAGACGTTAGTGTTTATGGACGGTAATTACTTTTTAGCAGCCGATCTTTCCAATGTCGTCATTTTCAATCCTCCATGTCATCCTATTCTTAAACATGAAAGATCGTTTTCGGATGAAGAGAAAAGGTTCTGAATTCTGGAACCTTTAGTTGTCATTATTCATCCAGATAAGAACATACATCTCTGTATTATAAAAATCTTAATCAACTTCTGGTGATGAAAACTTGGTATTCCAAATTAAGATTCCAAAATTAAGGATCCCAAATGAAGAGTCGGAAACTAAGGGCAACAAGGGTCTTAAAATAAAATTACGAGGGTCACAAGAAACACGAGAGTCATATGGGGTTTTTTTGGGGGTCATAAAAGGTTATATGGGGGTCATATGAGAGCCATATGAGGGTCATATGGGGGTGAAAAATGAGAAGTTTAGAATGGTTGTACCTCACTATGAAAGGCGTTGGTTAGAATACGATAGTTATATGAAATGCTCATCTGAAACTGTTCAGAGCGTGATGTTTTGCTTTTTTTTCATTTGTCAGGTGAACCGAGTCTGTTGGAAATGACTACCACTGATATCAGTTATCCAACACCTGTCAAGAATATACAATCGAAACATACCCATGGCGATGAGGGAGCGAAGCCCCACCCCCGAGGTTTGCGAGCGAAGCGAGCAGGGATGAGCGAAGCCCCTATTCTCTAATATTTTGTCATCTACCCCTATTGTAAGGGTCAAAGACCCTTAGTCCAAAAATGAGGGTCACTGGGAAAATCAGCATTGAATAATTGAAAATAATAGCAATCAGATCGAGGAACGGTTTTAGATTTTAAGGTCAATTTGAGTACTTAAAAATTTGGACACTCCGGTCTTACGATTCGGATGCATCGTATTTGATCACCATATGAGGGACATGCCGCAGCGTGTCATTTTTCTTTTATTGCCATTGCATGGCTAACCGCAAACATTCACAAAAAAAAATTTGACTTTTCCGATTGAAATGTCTAAGAGAGATACTATTTGTCTCTTAGACAGAAATGGCTAAGAGATTACTATCTATTGAAAATATTTTTTTTTGTTATGAAATTTTTTCTCTACTTCCACTGAAAACTCATAAATTCCTTTCAATTTTGCCTAAAATTTGAAATTTCGATTCTTTTCTAATAACATGGGCTTATTTCATCAACTACTATCAATGTATACATAAAATTTGCAAAAGAAAAATATATTGATCAGCTCTCAGACTAAGCAAAATTAAAGCCTAATAATAGAGTTGAGTCGGTCTAATAACTCTCCAAAGCTCTAAAATCCGTGCGTAAAAAAACTCCTAAAACACAATTTGATAGTCTAGTTCACAGGTAGAGTTAACAAGTTAAATTCTCTCCCCATAATTCTCTCCATAAATAAAATCCTAGAAATCAAAATTGTCAGCCAGCCCATAAAAAAAACCTCAATAATTCCACCTGACATCTTACAATGTATATTTCCACCTGTTCTCCGGATTTATAATTTACAACGCCTCGTAAATTCGTCAGAGCATCCAATAAACCTCACAAATGTCCACAGTTTGATATTCAAAGGAAAATACGAAAAAAAAAATATCCACAAAAAGGCTAAACAACACTAGTGAACCAAAACGCGATGAAAAAAAGAGGGAATTCTGAAGAAAAAAAATTCTCGCGAGTCAGTGAAGCGTTTTCTAATCCTCGAGCCATCAAAAAGCGAGCGAGAAGAAGGGTGGGGGAGGGTTATGTAGGCAAAAGGCTTGACTCTTGAAAACGTGGCGTATCGTTTCCACTTGGATACGCCCGACGGTCGACTTACCGTGATGTCCATGAGCGTGATGGGCGTCCGGCAGGGGCTTTCCCGACAGGTAGTCATTCTTGCAGACAAACTTGTTGTCATCCAGTACGTAGAGCTCCTCACCAGTGCTCAGCTGTTTTCTACATACCAGGCAGGTGAAACAGTTGAGGTGGAAAACCTTGTCACGTGCTTTTCTCACTAAATCTTGGGGGCTTATGCCTTGCATACAACCACTGCATTTTGTGCCGTATCTCCTGGAAGAAGCAGATGGAAAACAAAATTATCATGTGTATTTTTTATCATTATTGGACTAGCTGTAGCCAGGCGTTGTCCGGAGATTCCCTTTCCACAAATGTCATTTTGTTTTGAAAATTTTCTGGAGAAACTCGTCAATTCTCTCAAGAACCCGAAATTTGCATGTTTGGCACAAAAAAATTATTTTTTGACAAGTTTTAAAAAGCTATTTTTATCCCACAAGACTTGTTTGAGAACTCGATCGTTTTTCTGTCAGTGTACTATTGGGATTTATCCCTTCAAGCCTAGAACCTGCTATAATTATAAGTGACCCCAAGCCGGGGACAGCAACAAGTTCGAGGAGAGATGACGAGATACCTTTTTGTGAGGTGAGAACATTTTCTAAAAAGAGATCAGTATCATTCATTAGTGAGATAATTTGACAATTAGAAAGGATTCCTAGGGAGAGTTACGCGAGGATGATCTGTGATGCATGAAGAGTGTAGATAGGGACGATTTATATTTTGCTACAAGTATTTGAGGTACTGATGAAAGATTGTATGTTTCAAAAATTGACTATTTATTCTACTCAAAGCTGGGGAATTTGCCAGAGCAAAAAGCTACAACATGTAACTTTTCTGGCAGCAGATTTCTTAGGAAATTCTCGTATAATGGTGACTCAAAAATTTCTGTCCACACGGAGAGAAATATTCAACAAAAATGACGCATCTTTTCCGTAATTCCCGAGCGAAATGTAGTTATTGGAAATTTTACGGAGCCGTCACGGAATGTTTCCAGAGCGTTCCGTAATTTTTACCTGAATCTTCTGTGAAAAATTACGATACTGTCACTTAAATTTTCTGAGTCGATTCCGTAATCGGTGAGCGAACTGTGAGTTCCGTAATTTTTACTGAATATTTCTCTCCGTGCAAGTGCCAAATTTTCTGCCAGTTCCAGTTTGTAGGGACGAGTGGGGTAAAAGGGGCTGTATTTTATCAGCAATATCTCTTGAGCAAATGACGCGATTCAGATCATTCGGATTCAGGAATGGCCATCAATCATTGGATTCTTCAATATTAAGAGAATTTGAATCTTACATCAATTGATTAAGGTTCCGATATAATCATCGCAATTTAAAAATAATAAAATAATTTATAATCTAAATTTCCGACTGCAGACGAATTAAGTAATTGATAATATGGGACTGTCAATTGTCCATTGAGTAAATAATACAAAATTTCATAAAACAGGTTTTCCATTAACCAAATAATCGTCTTCTTAACTAAATTATTGATCGATAAAATAATTCGGAATTTAAGTGGTTGTAGTGGTCATGTGGGGAGTGTGTGGCTCCGGCGGTCATCCAAGCTAAGCAGCGTTCAGTCTGCCCAGTACTTGGATGGGTGTCCGCTTAGCCACACCACTGTACCCATTGAGTCAGTGTGACCAATTGACACAGTGGAATCCCTGCATTATCGGCCGGCTGCACGACTGAGGTTTTCCATGGTTTCCCTGGCAATCCAACCCGAATGGGGTGCAGTTGGGCATGAAGTAAATCGGCCCATGATAAAGTAGATAAGGAAGGGAACAAAATGTAAAAACCCGAGAGGGTATACATATGGAACCAAAAATAGATAATTCGGAATTTGAATATTTACTTGATGAGTAATTTAATAATTAAAAATGGTACGGTAATATTAACCAATTGACTAGTTGAAATTTTAACGGTAATTCTAATTTATGATTGTGGCTATCTCTGCTCGGAATGCATTTTGAAACTTGAAAAAATACTTTGAATTTGAAAAATAGAGAAATTCTACTCTGCACCGAGAAAAAAATCCTTATTATGAGATTTCAAAGATCTTAAATTGATATACTTTCAAGTCTCAACTTGAGACTTTCAGAAGGTTTAAAATCAGATTTTCAAGTTTTAAGTTGAGATTTTCGAGTCTTAATTTGAAACTTTCGAATGTCTCAACGGCACTGCTAGAAAAAAAAATGAAATTTCATGGACAGTCGACTACTAATTTTTAGGACATTGACACTGAATGCGATTTAGGGGAAAAAAACATGAAATTTCAGGTTTCACAGAAAATTCAGTAAAATTCCAAAATTATAAACACTATGAAGACGAGAATTCCTTAATTTATTGGAATTTCCAATCAAATATGAATATTCAATGCCAAATTACTTTAAATTTTCAGTGAAATCTAAAATTTTATGATTTTTTTCCCCGTAAATCGCATTCAGTGTTACACGGAGAGAAATTTTTTAGAAAAATTCTAGTGCGAGCACGGGAAAAGAGGTGCAAAGTGACGGCTAGGAAAAAATTCCAATGCTGGCACTAGAAATTTTATTGGGGCAAACGTAAAATTTTCCCCGTATTTCTATTACATTTTCACAGAAATTTTACCACAAATGCCAAGAAATTTTACTTTAATAGCACTAGAATTTTTCACAGCCGGCGAATTGTAATTTTTTCCCGTACTCGTACTAGAAAATTTCTCTCCGTGTACTGTCCTGAAAATTCAAGAATATCCCGAGTGGAAATTTCCCTCAGTTACATTGGGTCTAATCAGTTTTAGGTCCAATACTAGTCAGCATTTATAGATTAGACTTTCGGCTCAGGATCTGATGAGATTCTGAATGGAGTATCGGGATCCAATGTGGCGGAGTGAATTGTAATCCCACTCTGATCAGTGAACTTTCGACTAGATCCGTATCGAATCCGGTACTGCTTAGAAAGATCGGATCCTACAATTTGGATCAGGCGTGGATCCAAACAAGTGTTACATTTCTGATCCAAAACAGATCAAAGTCAGTTTTAAGTGGTCAGTCTCTTATTCTATCCTGATTTGAATTTCCACTCGGGATATTTACCGGAATTTTCTGGCTTTCTATTAATTTTCAAGAAAAAATGGAGCTAAAATTTACAGTTCTCTTTTGATTTTTCCACGAAATTCTGAATTTTCAATGACGAAATTCCTTGAAATTTCAGTGGTAATTAAATTCGATAAAAATTTCCAAAGAGTGTACCGGAAATTTTAGACAAAAATTTTTAACAGTGGAGACATTTGCAAGATTCTACTTGAGAAATTCAAAATGTTTAACTTGAGGAATTCGAAAGTCTTAATTTTCGATTTGCGAAAATCTCACCTTGAGAATTTCAAAATTCAATTTAAGATTTTCGAAAGTCTCAATTTGAGCCCTTCATAAGTCTCAATTGGAGATCGTAAGTCTCAAACTGAAATTTGTATTTTTCGGGTAATGTTCTCGAGTTATTGACGCTCAAAGGCGGTTGATTTTGCCCCACCCTCCCCTTCCCTCGACCTTTCACTAGAAACGACTTCGGAATAGGCAAAAGGTTGCCAATTCCGAAATCGCGCACTCGACAATATGAATTATATGACTTCCCGGAGCTCGAAACATACAGATTCATCAACGCCCAGGATAAATCGCACACCAACTCTCCGCTGCTGACTGAGAGAAACCGAAGAGAAATATTTAATATTTATGTCTGACTGTTGTTGTTAATCAGTTTCTTTCATTACCAAGTGAAGACGTAGGCTCAAGTCTTAATCTAGGCATTACGATAAACTCGAGAGGAATACCAACATCTATCCGTCAAGCTACGTTGCTACTCATCCAACTGTAACATATTTTTTTTCCACAGGGGAGCTCACCGTCAATTGGCAATTGCGCGTCTCAACGAATACAGTACTCCAACGAACCTCTGCATTCTCCGACATTTTTCAAACTTCACGTACCGAATCTCTTCCGATGATAATCATAACGAAAACAAGTGTGACGAACTGATTACCCGCAGCTCGAAATCGAACAAAAATTCGTCTCGCTGATTAAAATACCATAAAACAAATAGAGTGGAAACGCGAGGAGACTCAATGCATGAGGAACAATCGTGAAAGTTTACGTGAAATAAAACTATTGCCGCAAATTTTAATTACAACTTCATTGAACGGTGAGCGATGAATTCAACAAAACCCAATACGACGGGAGAAATAAAAGTGAGAGAAACATTGAGCCACTGAACAATGCAATTTCCACAATGAAAAATGAATTAGCTCTGTGAAATTCAATAAAAGTCGAAGTCTGATGAACGTGAGAATAATTAAAATGTAGATTCATATCGAATAAATTTACCTGTACAGAGAAGTTACTAATTTGAATGAAATGAATAGTTTTATTGGTCATTGGTAAATATTCATTTGCTTCTATGAGGCGAATTCAAAGAGATATTAATTTGCACTTATGAATATATGCTCTTAGTTAAACATCTGGGCTTCATTCATACGGAAAAATCGAAAAAGTTATTGTGTAGGAACAAATAACACGAGATGAATAGTTGCCAAAAACTATGACTATATATACGGAAACCCATTTGAACCTGAGTGGGTAAAGAATTGCTGAATTTCTAGTCTGAGATCCCGGAAATTTTTATCACGTTCAATTTACACTGAAATTTGAGACAATCTTGTCATGGAAAAAACAAATATTCCATTGATTTTCTGTTCGAATGATCTGAAAATCATTAGAATACTTGATTTTTCAATCAAATCAAATATTTAATTCAAATATTCAATTAGTTTTTTACAATCAAATATTCCATTGATTTTTTCTTCAAATAATCTGAAAATCACTAAAATACTTGATTTTTCAGTTCAATAATTCCGTAAAAATTCAGAAAAATCACGACAGTTCAGGGAAAAATGGGAAATTCATGTAATTTCGTTTCTGAATATCTATGTTTCATTGAAAATTCAATCAAGTTGTGAACTTTCCGTCTCACTCGTATTAAAAACTCATGAATTTCCTTGAATTCTGCCTAGCACTTGAAATTTCATATCCATTTTTCCCCTAAATCGGATTCACTGTCACTTCCATGAGAATGACTATCATATGTTCCATGAAATTTTGGAAAGCTTCTAACAGTGTAGGATATAGGTTCATGTTTGGGTTCAAATTTAAAATAAGACTCAGGTTGAAATTTTGATTCGGACTC